CCCCAAAACCCCAAAACCCCAAAACCCCAAAACCCCGTCATTCAAGTCTAGGTATTTTATTATATTTGATCAAATTAAAGACTTCTATTATATTTGGCATTTAATCGATAATTAATGTTTTAATCATGTTTACTGATTATGTTTGATTTACATCACTTGAGAATGACCTTTTCAACAGTGTAGCTTACTCTTTGAGAATTGGAAACAAAAAGAATTCTGACGATCCAGCCGATGAAAAGCAAGTGGGTAATCCAGTAGACCCAGCTGTTACAGTAAAAGGGTAGACTTTCACCGAGTTCACCGTTGTGCACCAAAATTTCTGAGGTAAAGCCCTCCACACGGCTAGTAACAGTCAAATCGTGATGAGTATCGCTTATCTTTTCCTTCTTTAGGTTATATTCCTGGCAAACCTTTGATTGACTAGCCTAGGCGGTGTACTAGATATCAAGGATAAGGTCGAGTCTGGTGAGCTTGTATTTTTTCATGTGAGATACAGAAGATGGGTTGGCTGATTAGTCAATAAATTCAGAATATCTGAAATCTCTAGTGTGAATGCTTGATGTTCTTTACGTGTAATCATATCTATGGTTTCTTCTAACGAATTCGTAGTGGTAGTTTTCAAGCCTCATTGATACTTTAGGTGCCTCATTCTTTAAATTGTCAAGAATTTTCTAGGCTTCATGGGCTCTCATAACATTTCTAATGAAGCCATTAGTTTTGCAAAGACCGCATTCAAGAAGATAGAATAGAATAAAGAAAATCCAAACTCCAACAACGTATCCATGAGCTCTTCTGGAGTAATCGTTGTTAAAAGTCCAGTATCCCATAGCCCACACGATTATTCCCAAAATAATATTAAGTGGAGCAAGGTGCCAACAGTCTGGATTTTAATCATCCTTCTTAACCATAAGATCATTGAAGTATTCAGCTTCAACAATTTTTCCATCTTTTGTAGTCAAGGTGGCATGACCATCTTTCTTATCTTCATTCCAGACTGTTTAGATGATGTTCCCATCTGGATGAATCAGTTTACCTTCTCCGTGTTTCTTGCCATTTTTCCATTGACCCTTGTATAGAGTACCATCCTTAAGAGTGAGTTCTCCGTAGCCATCTCTTTATCCATTTTTGAATGCCCCATTGTACACTGAGCCATCAATGTAAACGAGTTTACCACTACCGTGTCTTAGGCCTTCGGCGTTAAGATCTCCAGTGTATTATGAGCCAGCTTCATTAAGCTTGTCAAGGAGGCCAGCTATAAGTTTATTTAGAAGTACTGGTTTTGGTACTACGTCCTCAGCGGGAACAAATTCGAAACCTATTGATGGTGCAGGTTCATTGTAAGATTTGCTTTCATTGCCAAGATATTTACTCTCTGGAGCCCCTCCACCCATCTCAATGTCGTTATTAGCTGGTTGTTTTGACATTCTAACTGTAATAGATATTTCCTCTTGCTGCTGGCTTTATTGCCTAAATAATTATAACTCTTATCAAGTATTTAAATTTATATCTACAGGCTGCATAACTTTAATTGGTGCGCATCGGGGTTTTGGGGTTTTGGGGTTTTGGGGTTTTGGGG